CGCGACGTCCCTGGTCTTGTTGCAAGCTGTAAGAATAAATTGTGGTTGTACTGTAAAGTTAAATCTGAACAGGGACTGCGCACTTGAGGGACAGTTGACCACTGTCCTCTACTGACAGGGGAAGACAAGTATTATTATTATTAATCATCTTTATACAGGTTAACTTGTTCAGCTATTCCAATAAATGCTGTTATCCCACAAGGACCTGTACCTATCTACATTAATCAACATGATATTTTCTATAAAAGTTAAAAGAAATCTATGCTAAAATAGATAAAACTACTGACTAAGAATAATCAGGGACGCCGGAACGATGTGAAGGCAAGGGGGGCAGATTTTCGTGAAAGGGCACTTTTGAATTGATATGGCTAAGAGATGTTTGCGAAACATCGGGAGTTGAACTTCGCCTTACCATGTTTTCTATTTATTGGATGATAGGGGTGTGAGGTTCTCCGCCAGGCGATTGTGCTATTCTTGAAGCTCGATGACTGCATTTCTTGCGTTTTCTGAAGCAAATTCGTAAAAGAATTGCACTAACATTTCTGACAATTCGCTATTTCGCCAAGGCAATCCTTTAAATTGAAAGGGCAACTTTGCCCCTCTTGCCCTTCCTGGTAAAGGGCAACGGGGGCGGCTGCCCTCCCCCCTGCCCCCCCCAGTTCCGGAGTCCCTGAGAATAATGTACTTAAAGAACGTCCAATTTATAAAGATTTTAATTTTCCGGCTTTAAATCTGACGATTGATTTTTCAGTTTTCATTTCTCTGGCTAGTTCATTAAATAGTTTGCATCCTTGGAACTTTTAAGTTTAAAAACGTTTAAAAACGTCTTTAATACTTCCTGCTTCGGTTTTGATTCGTGGGACAAATCCAGACAGTGAGGCCTTGAGGGAGCAACCGTCTCCTCGAGTGTTCTTCCCATGATTGAGAAGTTTGAAGAGGTCATGGAATACGGGAGGAGAAACTCGTTGAATCGCTTTATGAACATCCAAAAGAGTCTTTTGGTTGATTATTTCCGAGATCGATTTCCACTCAACATCAGTCTGTTTCGAAAGCACAATTTTTTCCCTCGATCCTGGACTGGAGTTTTTCTTTCAATTATTTCGGCAGACCAAGATACATTGTCGGAAAATATATAATAAATAATTGGTTCGATCATATTTAGGTAGTAAAGATGTTTTGCTTATTCAAAGCCACGTTTATTCTAAGATCAGAAAACGCATGCAGTAAACACTCGTAGTGTCTGATGTTGGCCGCATGTACTCCCATATGTAAGCCCTCCCCCCCCCC